TCTGTGATTCTTTCTGTGCCAGTTTCTCCATGATACGCCTGACTGAGGCTGTTTACACCAGACATGGTGCCACTAACATGAGTAGGCATCCCCAATTTTAAAAATTAATTCTTGTAAGTGACAAATAGCAAAGGCTTAAAACCGCAACTGTTGGCATAGTCTAGTGACACAAGTAGGTTCCTACTTACTTAGGTTGTTAGCAGGCTTGTGTCACTCTCGCTAAAGCCCTGGCATTGTCTTCTACTGTTAATGGTTGTTCAAATTAAGGTTCTAGCACAAACTAAAGTGCTAATCTGTCCAGCAGTGCCRTGGGTGGGTGGCTCTGCTGTTGCGTGGACATGCAGAAGATTCCAGTTCTGTCTGTTCTTCCCCTGGAGCTACAGAGGAGAGTGAGGCTTTCTGTGCAGCCCTGAAATTGTGTAGGGGTGTAAATTCAAAAATCTAAAACTGTGTACAGCAGGGCTCTGCATAAGTTATGTGGTGTGATTCATTTAAGAGGAAAGTCTCCAGCATGTTGGAACCATGGTGGAGTCTATCTTCTGATAGACCCCATTCCTACAGCACTGCTGTAATGCTGCTTAATCAGCTGGAACCCTCCAGCAGGTTCCTTCCTATGAGACTACATCTTTAACCGTTACCCTTTAAAAGTACTGTTGTTTGAAAACAAGGATGTTATGCTGATCTAATGGTAAGTGTTGTTGTCTGTTGGCCTCATTGAACTGATCCTCACCCCCTTTCCTTGTGGCAGATGCAGATCTAGTAATTCTTTAGACAGAAGAGGGGTGATTTCAGCTAGCTGGTATAGGAGAAAACTTAATTTGGAGGATTAATTTTCTGTGGGATCAGGCAGCTGAGCTGATAAGGAATACAGATATAGTCATCCCAACCAAAAAAAAGACTCCAACCCTGTACGCACTTTGCCGACTGCACTCCCTGCGGACTTGACTTGCGTGCTTGGCCTGAACAGAGTTAAGGGGATGTTGCATCAATAACTTGAATACGCTGAGACATGAATGTGCTAAACATCAGAGAGAGGAGGCAGTGAGGAGCACAACACATGGGAGGCCAACCCCCTGTAATGGGCTTATCTGGCTCCCCTGTGCAGCTGAACCTGGTGTAGGAGGATGAAACGTTAGAGGTAGCTTGGCAGGCATCAAATGCTTCAATTCTATTATGTAACCAGGTATTTTTAATAGGTCTTTATGTATACAAGTTAAAAATCTTCCTGAGACCAACTGCATTTTAAGGGACAGCGATATTTTAGACAACTCTCTTCAACAATAGTCCTATATACTTTAGAAAAACAGGAGTGGCTGTTGAAAGCTTATTTAATTTGGAAGCACTGTTTCATCTTCTGCTAATTTGAACTTCTAGCAATGTCCTGAACACCATTTGGGTTGTGCATTTTCATACCAATAAAATGTAACTTGTGTATGTTCAGTCATAACTGCATGTGGTGTTTCAGTTCAATAAATGATTAAAGCTCTAATTGGTTCTGACTGGCTGTACGTCTGGAGCATTATGTAACTTGACAGGCCAGAACTGAATGCTGACGACTCAAACCGTTGATAAATGTATCTTTTAAAGGAGGAACATGGAAAATAAGCAAAGCAGAGATCCGTTGGTACATTGTGGTTTGCAGGTCASCTTTCATTTGCATAGTAACCCATGTGGGTATGGATTCACTTCAATAGATGAGCCATATGTGCCTGAAAACATTCCATGTGTAGGATCCTAAAATAAACCTTTCCTGCAGCATTACTTGGAATATTTTCTTTTTCATAACTTGACAAAGTGCCCAATACATTGATGAAATATCTTCTGATAAGCCAGCCCCTGGCTATGCTTCACACATGCTGGAAGGAGGCAGTATTATTGAACACAGTCCTGCTCTCTGCTAGCCAGCTATTCCCCGTGTCCTTCTCCAGACCTTGGTTTATGCAGATTCCAAGAGAACAAGCTTAGCTGGTTAAAGTATTCTGGTTTAAACAAAAAAAAAAAAAAAAAAAAAAAAAAAAGGCCTATGAACAACGAAGGAAAAGGGGGTGTTTTTGAGACTGTTTCTGTGAATGAGGCTACCAAAAATGGGGGGGGAGGGGGGATTTCTGTAGAAATGGCTGCACAATTCTTGTCTGTGAGTCCATCTGATCTGTACTACGCACATTCAGTTAACAGAGCAAAACTGTGCAACCTTCCTCGCTAGTGCTAGACGGGCTTACGAGCTGGTCACACCGGGACCCGGGAACTTCCAGGCTGTTTCTGCCAGCACTGAGCTGTTGCTCTGCTCCACTGTCACATCACTCTTGTCCTGCAGAGAAGGGGCGAGTTTTCCTTCTCTTCCTCTTTCTTCTTTGCAGCACCTGCCTCATTGCACCAGGCCAGTTTTCCACCTTACCTAAATCTTTTATTATTCTACTGTAGTTGGAGTGCTTAATCTATATCACTGGTTTAGCCCATCCTCAGGWGGACTCAGATTTGTAGCCTCAGATCTCTACCTGCAAGAGAAGATTAGCAAAACGGGTGCATGCCTCTCTATGAACCAGTTGTGCTGGTGTGAAGCTTCACTTTGCTCCTGAAGGTAATGGCAAACTTTTGTTTGCAAATGTTGCTCATCATGAAAACTGGAAATTTCTCCAGTGCCTGCTGCTTAGGGTCCTAAAATAACACCTAATGCTACTTCTGAGCTGTGATTTTGCTTTCCACTGAGGACATCTATCATCTTTAGGTCTTAAATCTAGGAAGAGCTGTTTCTAGTAGTAGTTGCCTTATCCCCGAGTAGTTAGAAAACTTATCAATCCATGAAATAATATAATTTTTGAGGTTGACCGAGGTGAAATTAAATGTGAGCTTCAGCTAAACACAACCTCAAAAAGTGTTTCTCTGGTCTGCTTTACTGATAAGGCTTCACTTCTTGATATCTCTGTGGCTGGAATGCCTTCTCTTCACCATCCCTCCCTGCCTTAAATCAATTTGAAATAGAAAATTGCTTGAACACTGAGCAGGGTTCTGTCTTTCCACATGCGTGAAGACAAGCTAGAACACTTCTACAACGCYATCCTTGAGGACTTCTTCCACAAAGCTCTCTAGATTTGCAGAAGGAAGGGGCTGGATAAGGAATATATAAGAGGATAAGAGATAAGGAATATGTAAGAGGAATRGGATGGCACTGAAAGCTTTTTGTCTTTTAAGAAACTCTTGGGAATAAGGGATTATCCAGAGCAATGCCCCTTCTCTCAGCACTCCTCTAATTCAGGTTTCCCTGTCTGACTCTGAAGGGCTGTTACGATCTTTCTAGGCTGTTGTTTTTAATAAATATATATATGTATTCAGTTATATGCGGTAATTGCATCCCACAAGTGATTCGTAACAAGACAAATGTCTTGTTTCACTTTCATGTGATTTAGGGTTTGAGATTAGGATTGCAGCAGCAAAAAACAAAAATGTTCTTGTTGTTCCTTGTACAGTCTGTGCAGATGTTTCTCCTTTTTGTTGTTGGATGTTATGAGTGACCTCACAGTCGAGAAACCAAGGGAGCTTGGGTTAGCAAAGGTGAAGTTTAGTAAAATAGCACCAGGAAATCTCTTGCATTAACATACAAGATACAATTTCTGTMATCTTKCTGCTTTTTTCTTTTTGTGGCACTTGCCCTGTGATGGGAAAGTGATGCAAAGTGACGCTGCACTGTGCAGCAGCTGTGTTGCCCTGCATGTAATAAATTGCTTAACAGAACGGCTCTGTATTTGAATGACACAAACAATAAAGCACGTAACCACTCAAACAAAAGACAAAGTCCTGGGCTTGTGTACATGGCTTACGTAACGCTTTGTGAAGTGTGCGCTGTTAGAGGCATCTTTTAAAGCATTGAGTGGGAGCTGTATCGTTGGAAGGTTGGTGTCAGCATCTAAGCTTTTTGCCAGCTAGGGGAAAGCTGGAGACTATATCATGAGTCATCTTACCTATTTTAAATTTCTAGTTGCATGTGCTTTCCTGTTCTCCTCTCTCCACCTCCATCCCTTGAGAGAGGAGGGAGCCTAGGCAGTAACTTGGATGTCTGCATGAAGTGAAATGAGTCCTACTGCAAGTGTCTCTTCCACTAGGTAACAGATTATTGATCAGGAGGGTTTTGATGTCTTAAAAGTAAGACACAATGAAAGAGTTCTCTGCAGCACTTCTAGGAGGTGGAGACCTGATTCGAGTGTGTCCTGCTTTTTAATAAATTCCTGTGGTGTCAACTCTGAGCTATATCATGTAGAGTCTGGATGAATTATGTGTATCTGCAYTATGCTTACAATCTGCTTTCAATGTTTTGCAGGGAACTGACACTTTTCTGGAGCAAATTGCAAAGAAGAATTGATCCATCTTTGGATTCCTTTTTGGAAAGATGTCGTCAGTTTGGCATTATTGCCAAAACACTACAGCATTTATTTTTCCTGATAAGAGTCATACAATCTGAAGTAAGTAAGCTGCTGTCCAGAGTTCTGGAGCACAGCTAGAGCTCCTGAAGGGAATGTAGTGCTTTGTTAATAACTTCACTGAACCAACAAGGAAACTATACATTATTGCATTGATCTGGTTTTCTGATTAAGTTTCTGATATCTTACTCATACAAATAACTGAAGGACATGCCTACTAGCTGTAGTTTTATGTCAGTTTGACCCAAATCCAAGTTACCTTCTATCATAGTGCTGTTTCTTRTTCTTAAAATACAAGATGATACAAGATGGCTGTATTTTGCACAAAAAGGATTCTTGCAGTTTAAAGATATATCCTCAAGTTGTAAATCTGTGGTGCAGTCACATTTGGAGTTCTACCCTTTCTGATCCCTATCTGCAAGCAGGCACAGTAAGATTCAAGAGATGCTCAGCAGCAGTTTTTTAAAAACTAGGAAGTTCTGTTCGAAGAAAAATGGAAACACTGMAATCAGTCCATCTAGCAGAAAACAAATGCAGGATGCTATTTAAAATGTTCTTTATAAGCTTACTATGCCTGTCCTGGTCCTTATTCTGAGTGGTTGTTCAGTTAAATTTTCTATTTTCCTTTGGCTGTGCTTGGCTGTTAAATTGGCTGCACTCAAATGTTTTGTACCTAGCTTCTATAGGGGACTAAATTTTGGGGAGAGTGTTTATAAATCATAGACTCGTTATGGTTGGAAAAGACCTTTCAGATCATCAAGTGCAATCATAAGCCCTTCAACACCATAACCTGCTAACCCATGTTCCTGAGCGCCACATTTACACGTTCCTTGAGCACTGCTGAGGACGGTGACCCCACCACTACCCGGGCAGCCYGTTCCAACGCTTAAGTGCTCTTTCCTGTAGATATTTTTCCTCATATCCAACGGGAACCTCCACCAGCGCAACCTGAGGCCATTTCGTCTTGTCCTATCAGCATTTATCCTGGAGAAGAGCCTGACCCCGTCTCCCTACAACCTCCTTCCGGGTAGTTGTAGGAGCGATGAGGTCTCCACGGAGCCTCCTCTTCTCCACACTAACAACTGCGGCCGCTCATAAGCTCTGGGCCGCAGCCCCTTCCCCAGTTCCATGGGAGCCACTCCAGCWCCTCCATGTCCTGCCTGTAGCRAGGGGCCCAAAGCTGAGCTCAGTGTTGGAGGGGCGGCCTCCCCAGGGCCGAGCGCCGGGGCCGGTCATGCCTCTGGCCCCATTGGTCCTAGCACCAGCCTCGAATCTGTGAGCAGCCTTGGTCACCTGGGCTGTCCGTCTGTTCTTAATATAAGCCGAGTTTAAAATAAGCTATCTGGTAACAGTAAGACCTTAACTATTCTAATAACTATATTGCTCAGGTAATGAAAGTGAAATTGCATACAAGCATCTTTCCCTTAGGACTATTATTGTTTCAGTGAACAGTAGTGCTTTGTTCAGAGAGATCTTTGTTTTCACTTTCTCTAAATTGGGCTTATTTCTACTTTCAAAATGTGTGGCAGTGTACAGTTACATTGCAGGGATGCTCTATGACTTACAGACCGGTTCTTTCTCCCTGTTCTCTGAGAGGCCCTTGTAAGAACATTTCTTCTCTCGGGAGAGCAGCTTTTTAGTGCTCTACAGCAAATTAACACAGCTGTGGAATTAAAGAAGTATCAGGTGACTTCCAATAGCCTGTGTACAGTGAGGATAAGAGCTAGTTAATTCTTCTAACTGATCTTTAGTTCTTTTAGACCTTTTCCATTTAGGTTGGTATGCGTGTGTAGTTCTGTTAGCCAGCCAGTACAGAAAAGATAGTAAAAATGCACAAAATGGAAATTGCTTTGGAAATAAATTGCAGAATGCCCTGTATTAATCGTTGCATAAAATGGATAGGTCTGAGGAAATGAGCAGAAATACATGAAGAGTGATGCTGTATCCTAAACTCTGCTTTCTTAAAGAAAATGAGCAGAAAATAAATACTGCAGAGGGAGTGACAGCAAAAAGCTCATCTTGTGCTTAAAGTATTGGTCTGGGACACGTGTGGTGTGTTCCATTCCCGGTGCTGCTATCTGTTTTGCTGAGCAAGGGRTGTTTTGGAGGGTAGTTCTCCTCCCTCTCCCCTGTTAGAGATGCTCCTAAATGGTCTAATTTCAGCTTGGCGTCCGAGTGCCAGTGCCTGGAGCCTGAGCATTAAACTCCTTGGCTGTATTAGGTGTTGAGCACATCTTGGAGATCCAGCCATAGACATCTTGTGTTCAAGACAAACAACTATAGTAGGACTGGGCAGACTGAGTCAGGACTTTAGGAGTAAGGTGGAATTAATTGGTTTATATAAAGCCTTATCTACTACAGAAGATTGCAGGAACCACCATTTGTCTGGATACTTCTATTCCATTATACAAATCTTTGTTGCCTGAAAAGGCATATAAGCTAGTCTGAAAGAGATGCTAGAGCAAGAACTCCTCCACTAGAGACTAGTTTAGCTACAAATAATGGAAATATCTTTATGCTATAAAAGCYTTCATACATTTGCTTGTGTGTCTGCTTTCACACGGACTGATAGGTCTTCACAGAGGGAATCACCGTTGTCGGCGCAGGTGATGTGCATACAAATATGCTGCAAATAAAGTATTTCTGCCAGGAAAGAAAATCACATTGAAATAACACCCGATTTTATGTAAAGGCRAATGGTGTTTGGGACAACAATGAAATGAGGTGTTATGAAGGTGTCAGTCATTGAGCCAGTGAATGATATAGGAGGCTTTTAAAAACAAAGCACTATCATAAGATAGACACTTAGGAGTGTGTAGTGTGCAGTGGGGATTTACCATTTAGCCCCATTTTACTTAAACTGGGGATTTGCCATCTTTCACGTTTCTTTCTTTTCTCTGCAGGGTTTCCTCATCTGCTAATATACAGATATTCATGCATACTAATTAAAAATGTTCTTTTTCATCATCTGTTAACATGTGATAAGTCTTAACTGTTACTTGTCTCCACAAATGATAACTAAATAATTGCTTCATGCCTTCACATTCTGTATTCCTCAAGTTTGCTATTGTCAAATTTTGGAACAAGATAGCGTTCAGTCTTGCCCATGTAGAATCTGACCTATGTGCTGGTTTAGATCCATGTATGGATAAAGTTTGTGGGTATCTTAGTCCAACTGAGCAGTATTTCAAGAAGTTGAATAGACTTCTCAGAAAATCCTCAGAATTTAAATGTGAGTTATCTTCATCAGGAAACACTTTTGGAACTATACTGCTTGTAATCTTAAAGATGGGGTTTTTTTTTAGTATAAATTTACATGAACTTCCTTATTTACGGTGTGCCAGATGTGCTGAATTAATATCCTTTGTGGATGCTGCAGAAAGAGCATAGGTTGAAGATTTGCACCGTTCATTTTAGACACCTGACCTAGTTGTGTCTGAGAATCAAACCCTCCATGGAGGGAACAGGAGCTAGAGGGAAGGGCATCTTACAGAGTCCAGTGCCTGAGGTAGTGTGACTGTTCCAGAGAGCACTGAATGGGAGAGACCACCTTGCTTTCAAAGAGTAGAACAGCTTGTCAGGTAAAATATTAGTCAGCTTTCTGAAATACAGTAATKGACTCAGGCACTTAACACAGTCTAAATATGTTATGAATATGCAGTAGCTGCTATTTTATTGGAAAGCCTTGATAACTAGCTGTCCATAAAGCTTTGCTATCATCAGGAAGCCTCCAGAATGTAGGTGTAATTCTTCCAGAGAGAAGTTCTAGAGAGAATATATATACACCAAAGAAAAATAATTTTTCTTTTCTTTTTTTTGCTTAACAACAGGCAGAAGAAGCAGGACTTGCTGTGTCTGTTTTGTTATGTGTGAGAGCCCTTCAGATCAGATCAAATGGAAGTGACGAAATGAAGACATCTGTATGTAAAACGATCGCATGCCTTYTACCAGAAGACCTTGAAGTCAGAAGAGCATGTCAGCTTACCGAGTTCTTACTTGAGCCAACTTTGAGTGGATTTAATGTGTTGGAAGAGCTGTATATGCAACCAGATCAAAAATTCGATGAAGAAAATGCACTGGTCCCCAACTCGCTCCGTTGTGAGCTGCTGTTGGCTTTAAAAGCATATTGGCCATTTGATCCTGAATTTTGGGACTGGAAGACTTTAAAGCGACATTGCCTTAAATTGTTAGGGAAAGTAGCTTCTGATTCTGAGGATGATGTAAGTTGTAATATGTCAATCAATGAAACCGACCTCTTAGATAGTTTCTTAAGTGACTATGATGACACGAAAGAACATAAATATTATGATGGAAAAGATTCAATAAATAATCCTAAAGAGAAAGTAAGAGTAAAAAAGCCAATTGGTTCTTCAGAAAGATACCAGAGATGGCTTCAGTACAAATTCTTTTGTGTGCTGTGCAAAAGGGAGTGTATAGAGGCTCGAATACTGCACCATTCCAAGATGCACATGGAAGATGGTATTTACACATGTCCTGTGTGTACAAAGAAGTTCAAAAGAAAGGAATTTTTTGTACCGCATGTAATGGAACATGTTAAAATGCCACCTAGTCGAACACACAGGCCGAAGAAGAAAATAATACTGAAAAAAGAGAGATCGCCACAAAAGACAATATCTTCCAGCAGCTCCTGCCCGGCACTTCAGGAAAAGCTGCATCAGCCCCAACTGTCTGAAAACCTAGAAAGCGACGCACATGAATATGTCACATTCAGCCAGTTGGAAAACTGCCAGCTACAAGACAGAGACATCTACCCATGCCCCGGCACAGATTGTTCGAGGGTATTTAAACAGTTTAAATACTTAAGTGTACATCTAAAAGCCGAACATCAGAACAACGATGAGAATGCCAAACACTACTTGGATATGAAAAACAGGAGAGAGAAATGTGCTTTCTGTCGCCGGCACTTCATGACATCCTTCCATCTGCGGGAGCACGAACGAGTGCACTGTGGTCCTCAGCCTTATATGTGTGTGTCAATGGATTGTTATGCCAGGTTTGGGTCCGTTAATGAGCTTCTTAATCACAAACAAACACACGATGATCTTCGTTACAAATGTGAACTAAATGGCTGTAATATTGTTTTCAGTGACTTAGGGCAGCTTTACCATCACGAGGCACAGCACTTCAGAGATGCATCATATACATGCAACTTTTTTGGTTGCAAAAAGTTTTATTACTCAAAAACTGAATTTCAGAACCACCTTGCAATGCATAACATCGCCGTGTCAAACGGGGACGGGAAGCAAACGGTGAAACGTGAAGAGTCTGTTTCAAAAGACAAGTTCAGTTATCTTCCAGAGTCTCAGCTGGTTGAACAATCTGAAAGCTCCAGTCCAAATGAAAACCTGGATCCCACGAGCTCTCAGGAAATTCCACAGATCAAGGAAGAAGAGCTCTCCGACAGTGAAGACCTAGACAGTGAAAGTACTTGCAGTGTTCACTGTGGGAACCACAGCACAGCTGTAAACCAAAGCCAGGTGTCTCCTTTATTGACTGAAACAGGGGCTCACAATCAAACGGCTCCAGATTTTCTCGTGTCCCAGGAAGGAGTCTTCCATTCAGCAGATGTGAAAGAACAGTGCTCCGGTGAGGCAGTTTGCCTCGATGGAAAAAGCTTCTCTTGTGGCTTTGAAGGATGCTGTGCAACACACAAACACGCCAGAAGTATGCAGAAACATCTTCGTAGGGCCCACCCATATAACTTCAAAGGTAAAAAAAAGATGGAGATGAAAACTAAAGACTTTCTGAACCTGCTGAGTGWTGCTCCGGGCAGTAAATCCCCCAGAGACATTGGTACGGAGTTGGATCAGAATTCAGATACAAATGCTGATTCTCCAGAAAGCCTCTATTACAATAAAGGAAACAATGGCCTGAAAGAAGAAAATTATCCTTCTTCCCCAGAAGCATCTTTTTATGACAGTTCTAAAGTATCAAATATTGAAGACAATATGCTGGAACTACTCTTAGGCTTGAAACATCTCAGCTTAAAAAATTCCAATATTCAGAATTCTTCAAGACACAAGCCTTTTTTGGGCTCCTTACAGTCCTATTCATCTAGGGATACCAAGTGCCCTGAGTCAGGAGTAGAAGAAGCTACCTCAAAATTTCAGTTTCAAGAAGAAGAAAACTTACCCAGCCAGTATCTCACCCAGCTGGCAGCCAAACCATTTTTCTGTGAATGTCAAGGATGTACTTGTGAATTCGTGACCAGAGAAGCTCTCTTAATGCATTATGTTAAAAAGCATAACTATTCAAAAGAGATGGTTCTTCAGTTAAACATGTTCCAGCATCGGTACTCACCATTCAAGTGTCATATTTGCCAAAGATCATTTACAAGAAAAACACATCTTAGAATTCACTATAGAAACAAACATCAAATTGGCTGTGAGAGGATGACACACAAGGTCTGCTCTAATGATAAACTTGATCATGTAAGTTTATGTACAGAGGACATACATAATACTGTGCCAACAGCTGTCTCTGCAACCAAGGTTGAATTCATTGAACACTCAGACCACTCGGAACAGCTTTATCGTCCCAAAAAGGAAGACTGTAGTTCTGAAACCGATTTGGAGTCCAGTGAAGAGACAGACAGCAGCATAACAAGAAAAACGTCTAACCTGGCTTCTCTGGACAGTCACAGGGAAGAACTGGAGGCAAGAGAGGGAAGAGGAAGCAAAAGAACAGTTGCTAAAGGAAACTTATGCTACATATTGCATAAGTACCACAAACCATTTCATTGTATTCATAAAAGCTGCAACTCTGCTTTTACCAACCAGAAAGGTTTGATTCGTCACTATAGGACCGTTCACCAGTATAACAAGGAACAGCTCTGCTTAGAAAAAGACAAAGCAAGAACAAAAAGGGAACTTGTCAAATGTAAAAAAATATTTGCATGCAAGTACAAAGAGTGTGGTAAGCGTTTTCTGTGTTCTAAAGCCCTTGCTAAGCATTGTAGTGACTTCCACGATGAACATATAGAAGATCAAAAAGTGCTTTCTGAAGCTGAATCTGCAAGATTTGCTTGTAACCAAGCCCATTGCCCTGCTGTATTTGTTACTTTTAATAAGCTAAAACAGCACCTGGTAGAAGAACATGCCAGTGCAGAAAAAATAAACAAAGATTTTGAAATCCATTGTGACCTTAATGGCTGTGATCGAATTTTCACCAATTACAGTCACTACTCTCAACATGTGTATTTCCGACATAGTGAATACTATGATAGTCTCTTTGGAAATCAAAAAGAGGAGCAAGATGATCTTGATAAGGATAAAAATGAACAAAATTATTTGAAAGACAATTTTGACATGAACAAGCAGAATGGGAAGCAGATAAAAGAAAAACCTAAAAGAATTAGCAAAAGCAAAGAAAAGCATTTGATTAATTTGAAAACAAAAGAGGAAGCCCTACAAATGTGCAAAGAGAAGTCCAACCAGACCCAGTACCCTTGCATGGTTCAGGGATGTATGTCCGTTGTGAAACTGGAAAGCAGTATAGTGAGGCATTACAAACGCACACATCAGATGACCAATATATATATAGAGCAACAGATCCAGAAACTGGTTGTTTGTGTTAAATGTGGCACAATGACAGAAAAACAGTCCTCATCTGACACAGCTTCAGGTGGGGATAAAAAAGGCACAAAAGTTAAAGAGGAGAAATCAGCTCACTCTGTGCAGGAAAGTCAAAAATCTCTCACTGCAAATACTGATCAGGACCATCAAGGTGTAAGCAGTGACGACCAAAAAAGATGTTCAGCAGGTAGTGTGGGCTTCGATACGAGTGCCTTTATGTATTCGGGCACCTTAAAATATAACCACAGTTCAAAAACTAGCAGTTTTGAAGAGCATAACTTAAGGGAGTCCGTGAGGTGTAAAACAGGAGATGTATCTGAAAACAGTGAAGGTGGCTCTTATTTCTCCAACGTACAGTTAGAGTTGCCAAGGGAGAAAGACGGAGAGGGACGTGAACATAGCACAGATACCCAAAATGCAAAAAGAAACGTACGTTGTACTACGAAGGACAAATTACAGAAGCAACCCCTGTCCAGACCATTTGACTTAAAGACGTATAAACCAATGGGATTTGAGTCTTCATTTTTAAAGTTTATTCAGGAAAGTGAGGGAAAAGAGGATGACGATGATGATTTTGATGAGGTGGTGGAATGGGAGTCTCCTGAGCAGTTTCCAGTTGATGGAATCTTGCAAAAAGACGGAGACTCTCGACGGGATCGGGATGCGCCAGTAAACAGCTTTGTGAAGGAGAAAAATGCAGTCGGACCCCAAAACAATCATGGGCGGCTAACAGAAATACAGCCCATCATTTCAGAATCGTCATCTGCCCCTTCTTTAGAAAACTTGAGGGCTATCTTGGACAAGGCATTAATGGACTGTGGAGACCTTGCCTTAAAACAGCTTCATTACTTAAGACCGGTAGTTGTTCTGGAAAGATCCAAGTTTTCCACGTCCCTTATTGATCTATTTCCAACAAAAAAGGCYGATGAGCTTTGTGTAGGAAGTACATAAGTAGTTTTGCTTAGAACAGATTGCCTCCACTACTGTTACATGGGGAGAATTTCAAATTAGAGCAGAAACTGTTACAGAACACACTGTTTAGGTTAGTTTGGACTGTTTAATTCCATGAATGTATAATATCTGTCAAAAAGTACTGGCCAAGTTAATTTAGCTCCCCTTTTTTTTTTTTTTTTTTTTTTTTTTTTTTTTTTTTTGTTTTGGACAATGCTGATTTTGGTGCTATTTAACACATCAGAATACTGGGGGCTTCCTCTTGCAGAGTAAATGTGCATGATTGTATATGGAACAAGTACTAGGGTACCAGGGTTTGGGGGGTGATGGAGTTATTACTTGACTTGAATGTGCACCCTAGGGTGCTTTGTGTAACATATTGTACACTACAGCATCTTATATTTTTTGAGTTATGAGTTTCAATAAATTACAGTTTTTCACCCATTTGTTTACTGTATGGTAAATCTTTTTCTTTTAGGCAACTTTAATGTGATTTGCTTTTATTTATTGAATTTGGGACCATTCTGTGCGTGCTGGACAATGTTCCTTCAGTTTGACACATTTGTAGATAGCTAATTAGGCTGATGAAGCAGTGTAGGTAAGTTTTACTCTGTAATATTGTCTGTCCTTGCAGACTTTAAAGAATTAGGATGAGTGTGGGTAAAAGCACTTGTCATATGGTGATAGGAAACTTCTGGGTATTTTTCCCTTAATGGAAGAAAATGCTTCTGACAGAGTGAATTTTGAAATTTATTGAGAGACCTGCAGGTTTGGGGCTCCSTGGTCTTTTTTGGATAATGACTACGACCTACCTTGAAGATTATTAAAAGCAGTTATCTAATATTTTGAGCTCTGATACTTATTTTTGTTTCTTCTGCATACATTCTGAGGCCCGGAACCTGCACACTGAAWAGGAAGTGGTATTTCCTAAGCTCTATGAGATAATACGAGCAAGCTGCAATTTCCTTATTCAGGGAGGGTTTGGGGTTTTGTTGAGGTGCTTTGGTTTTAACACTGTAATCTTGGAAGTAATAATGGAAAGAAAATGAAAACTTGGGAAGATATTGGCTGGTGGCAAGAATGAAGAGGAGTATCTTTTATATATATATATACACACACACAYWTWKAKRTKWTATATAKAKWWTATATATATATACACACATATAGACTTCATGCATATATAGATTTATGCATATATAGATTTTATATATTTTTATATATATAATATAAAAAATCTGCAGTAATGTGTTATGAGCAATACTGACCAGAAGTGGCATTTACATGAATTCATAGAAGTTGAGCCACGTTTTCTTTTTCTGATGCTGCTCCTTGGAGACCAGCATTCATAGAACCATCCTAATCAGTAGGAAGCAGTGCTCACAGCATCCCTGTTCACCTCTTGGAGTTTGTGAATTAGCCGCTTTTACAATGAGGAGAGGATTCTGGGACTGCAGAAATAGTCCAAAAATAAAGTACCAAAGCGTTTCTGCTTGTCACGGATTAGGTTTTTTCTGTGTAAAAGACAAAAAAGTTTATAAAGGTTTACCTGCAAATGTTGATGAATTGCCGCAGGAATGAAGCCTTATTACAAATTTCTTCTCCAGTGTCATATGCAGTGTATTCATCTGCCTGTTCTGATGGGAACATAGGAATGGGTTCAGTGAAAATTCACTGTCAAAAGCAACAATTCCAAATTCAGATTGTTGGCAGGAATCGTGTCTTAAGCTGTTGCCACCAAGGAGCTCTGAAAAATTATCTGTACAGAATCCTGCTGTCTAAGCATCCTGCAAGGTCTTCCATGTTCAGCTTTCCCACTAACAAAACCAGCCCTGCTGCTTGCTGTAAGATCAAATGTGCATATCAAGCATGAGCTTTATGACAATTCTAGCTCTGTTATTCCATAGAAGGGCTATTTCTGAAAGTGTTAGTTCCCCAGAAACAGCCTGCTCTTATTAAATAACAGTTACTGTATGTGTGCAAATTACTATCACTACAGAGAGACAAAGATTTTACAGATTATGTGACTGAAGTCCACGTGGTGTTTCATTGATGTTGGGTAGGTGCTGCTGTTAATTAATTTGTTAYGGGTTATTTTCAGTTTGAATATAATGCGGGTGAAGATAAACATGCAGACATTTCTGTCTGTCAGATTTGGAGAAACTCTTGCTGTATTCTTCAGGGAATTGTATTTAAAACATGGCAAGTTTATTCTGCTTGGCGTTCATGGGATCATCTCACAGTGTGTTCTGTTGGCGATGGCCCGTTCTGGGCACACAAGGGAGTTTTAATCCCATCCCTTTTCCTTCCACAAGTGTTTCACTCGACACCCACAAATCCATGGGCCCTGATGGGATGCACCCCAGGGTGTTGCGGGAACTGGCGGATGTCCTAGCCGAGCCGCT